ATATATATATGTATAAGGTAGTTAGTATTAGTCCTTATTCAAGCTTAGCTAGGCTAACCTTAGATGCAAATTCCCAGCCACAAAAATATAATATTCTATATAATTATCGAAAATGGGCTCTATTGGACCGTCAAGTATAAGTTTGATTACTTTTAAATATAACTCTCAAGCGTTTATAAACTCGAAAATATAATATTGGACATTTAGATAAGTTTTATTTTAAGCAGACTATATCTCAAATTTTGTTTGATCGAACTATTTGAAGTTAAATAGATAATTTTGGAAGTGATTAATTTTATTCTTGTTGCTGTCAAGTTCAATACCACATTGTAATAAAATAAAATATAATAACAAATTAAAAGAGATATTTTCGTCTTTTAAGAATATTCTAGAAAAAGATCATAGTGTTAATTTTACATCACTAGCCACAATCAATTATTTACTTTATTTTTGTCTTGAATTACAATACAAATAATACAATTAATCGTCAATAATTCGAATGGCACGTTCGACTTATAAGATATATTGATGTTGAGGTCTGTTTTATTGGAAATCACTGCATGAAAGTGTATGTTATAAGAGAACTGTTATGGTAGTAAAGTATCACAAGGTGGTAGTGACGCGAGGAAAATGTTTAAAAAGATGCTGCCGGTTGTCTGCAATATTTTGACTCGAAGATCACCGGTATACACCAACAAAAGAACTAAGACGGTGCTCCCATTGCTCCGTGACATTTCAATAACACAAAAAGCGTGGGGAATCATTGAAGTTTATTTTTACACATCAAAGGAGTCACTCCGACAAAACATTGTATAACGAGCACGTAAGTCATCATGCATTGTACGCTTAAGTTTTTTTCTTTTTAAAAGTTTTTCCCTTGGCGTTTATTTGCCTTTTGATGAATCTACTCCTCGTGATGTTTCGAATGTGGTGCGTGGATATAATATTTTCGGTACACACTTAGTTTAAAGTATAAAACACGGTCGATTTTGTATGTATTAAACGTGAACTTACTTACCCAGTGATAATAGTCAACACTCACGTTCACTTGAATACCTGTTTCAATATTAAACAAAAAGAAGAACACATTGTTTAACATTTCATATTCAACCTGCAAATAAAGTATATGTACTTTTGAACTTTTAGTCATTGTTTTCAATAGATACATGTACTTTATTCCCGAAAATTCGGAAAGTTTAAGTGAAAAAAAAAATCCAGCATGGAGGTCGCATCACATTGGTGACTTGGCATAGTTAGGTCAAGTATAATGATATCTGACAGTGATTAAAATCATAAAAAACGCTTCGATGCCAATCTGTAGATAGTGTTTAATTTTAAAAAATTGGTGGATGATTTCAAAAGCTACATTATCTTCTATTTTCTTATTTATATCCTGATTACAAGCTTTATGATTTATAAGTATAATATATAAATATATAAAGGGAAATGGTGTTATTTAAAAAAAAAGTATACCGAATGAAAAAAGGTATATAAATATTATTTCTCATAAAAAAATTGTATTGATCCATATGCTTTTAATAAGTTATAGCATTATAAAGTTAAAAATGTAAAATATAAAATCGAGAATTTTCACATGAAAATAGCATTTGGTAGCCATTTTTACCGTGAAAACAAAATAAAATCTAAAATTTTTTATTTCCATAATAAAGTATATTACATAAGCTTTAATTTAAGATTTATATAAAAGTGTCAGTATTTTCGGAACACTTCCAAAAATTAAGTTGATAAAGTTTTACTTTCTATATGCATTTTTAAGATTTGAACTACCCCTGTATTAAGGGAAATGGATCAATTTAAAAAAAAAGTATGTCGCATAAAAGAAGAATATAAATAGTACTTATCTTAAAAAAATTATAATGATCTACATATTTTTCAAAAAGTTATAGCATTTTAAAGTTAAATACCTTCTCAGCTTCGCATCGAAGCTAAAAATGACTTTATCGTAACGATATCTGTTACTATACGATTATGTATATTAATATTAACAAGTTTATAAATCTAGCAAAAAATAAGTTGATTGCTAAAAAAATGATTAATATATTAATTACATACATTAGAACAACATTAATACTAAATAAAACATTTATAACAAATATTTGGAAATGGTTGAACCAATAAGATATTTGGCACAGAGTTTTCGATTTTAATATAAAACAGATTGCATCTTAAATTATATTTAACATGAACAATTTTGTATCACTATAGTTACGCTACAATCTTATCTTTTTAAACATAAAATTATTAAATTAAACAAAGGAGTAGCTTACTGTATAAGACTAAAATTATACCCATCTCTATATATATACCTTAATAATATCTTAAATTTTTACTAATTTAGAAAATAGAAAATAATTTGTGTAGCTTTCTGACAACAATATTGAGATATAAATAATTATGAATGAACATTTTTTTGTTGAAATAATTATGTTATTTTTAAAATACATTGCCAATTTATATTTCTGTAACAAAAAGAAGACATTTACACAACACGAAAGTAAAAACATATTATTTATAGAGGTTCAGAAGAAGTAAAAGGAAGATATAAAGAGGACATATGGCCAGTAAAGTTGTTATATACATCCGTTTCCCCAACATCCGCACCAGGGTACTTTTTCCGTATTTTCTCTTCCAGTTATGCTCAATTTCCTCCGACAAATTGTGCTTGTATCGCTTTCAGCGTCTTCTCCGTCACCTCTGGACAATGAGCTTCCCCGATACTTCAACGTATCTCTCCGAAAGCCTAAAAGAGATGGCCTTCGTCGTCCTTTAATCGGTGACTCTTGACCCACAGACAGTTTTTTAGAGGCCCCGGTCGTCGACTTGATACTAGATCTTGATATTGATCTAGGTTCAGCCGAGTTAACTTTCTGATCTGATGGAAACCTGTATAATAATAAATATAAAAGTATAATAATCACGAAAATCCTTTCAGTCCTACTATCTGTCTGTAAGATAATCAGACTTTTATGTTAAATTATATTATTACGCTTACCTGAAAGCTGTGGCTTGTTGAGTGGACGGCGCACTTTGTAATGTTGTAAACGTTGGCGTTCCGTTTTCTTTGCCTACTTCGTCTGTTATTGGAGTACTACTGGATAACGATGATGGATCTGCCATTTTCAGGTTCAGTTTAATATGAGACCTGAATGACTTTCTTCGAGCTATGCTATTCATCGTTCCCGTCTCGTGTTCAGTAAGCTGTCTAACGATGGCTTTATTCGATCCAAACCACAAGTACCGTGGAGAACCTAAGATCAATCGCACTCGCACATAACGTTCGCTTCCGGTCAGCCCTCGACAGGTTTTCCTCTCTACACCCCCTGCAATAATACACCTCTTAAGAGTTTCTTTACTGGGATTCTTATTAAGTTATTCTATAAAAAAATTACTCGCCGAGTAAAACATTGGTAAATTATAATTTACTGTTTCCATTGAATTAATTTATTAATTCTCAATGACAGTGACATCATTAAATTATTCGATTCATCGATTTCTAACGAGCTTATAGTTTGTTATTCCAATAACAATCGATGGAATTATTTTGTACAGCGTTTAGGTACGATTTAAAATAAAAATAGGGCATGTACTAAATTTTATAGATTTTTTTTTACGTACGTTTGTTCCTTGTTTGTTAAGTAAATAAAAGTTTTTTTTTATGAAGCTTACCAATTATGGTGCCGTATTTTTTTAGACTTTTTAGGACTTCTTTATCAGACACAGTATCGGGTACTCCGGAAAGACATAACATGGTGGCACCCGCACCGGTGTCCATTAACAATACAGGTACACCTCTTATATTTAGTGTAGTGTGTAGAGCTCTTTCCATACAGCGAGCCGTTCCAAAAGTCATGTAACACCTTTCGTCTACTACTCGAATACCTTTCAAAATTTCTCTGAGATCAGAATCGATGGCTTCTATAATTTCATCGACCTAAACAGTCATGTTACATAACATACATAATTAAAATAAAACAGTTCTGGTTACATTAAAATGTATGTGTATACTTCAAATATTTCTGAATTATGGAAATATATTAGCTGAACTAGAAACCTGATCTGGCTATTCTTTAGAATCATATTTTTCGAAGTAAGGGCAAAGACAATAGCAAACATGGTTTCTGGTTTTTCAAACTACTATAAATTTCAACTTTAAGACACACAAATATTTTTTTTTAATAATATATTATAACATTTACTAGAATTAATCTTGGTATTTATTAAAAATGTTAATCTAAAACTACAAAAAACGCACACCAGCTTGTTTTTATCTCATTTAAATTTTGTTATAATTTGCAATTTAAATTTAAATTTATAGAAATTAATAATTTCGACTTTAGTTTTTGATAAGTCNTAGAAATTAATAATTTTGACTTTAGTTTTTCATAATTCAAATACATAATAAAACTTAACTAACATGGTAAATTTAACTTTTCATCGAAAATCTGTCGTTGAAAACTATGTTAGGCGTTAGTAATTCTTAATGAAAATTTAAATGTTATTGAACTTTTGTACGGTATGTAAATAAAGGTACTATATTATCACTATAAAATTTCATATTTGTGTTTTATGATTAATGTTGTATAAAAAAATAGTATACCTTACGTTTATATACATTAAAACGTTTTATTAGAACTGTTTAGACGATTTTTTACAGAAACTTAATTTCAGGTGAAGGACAAATGGTAATAATTGTGGAGTGTAGTAAATGTTTGGCTTGTTTCTTTGAATATTTTTTAGTACAAGTGATTTGCACAATGGAATTTATTATACTAGTAATATTACTATCATTATTGTAATTTACACCTATTCGTCGACGGTTAAGATAATAATTACAAGATTATTATCTTGTATAATAGTAGAAAATGTGACGTAAAAAAATTTAAATACAATCGAAATCGTTAAATTTTTACGGAATGATCTTAAAATGGTCGCACGTGGTTTAATTGCACGCGTATATGGTATTTACTGAGAATTTTCCAAGCAATTTTTAATTAATGTTGATGAGTTGACGACTGTTGTTTATTTGTACATTATTTTTTTAAATACTCTAGTACAGTTTATTATTTTTACTGTAGCCGTGTTCTATGAACGTTAATAGGTTTTGCAACTCTGATCAGCGATTCGATACTTTGTTGTGTTTGTGATGGCATTTTGTATATATTAAGTATTGCGAAATGGGCTTAACCAATTTTCATATGGAATAAGTTCTACACAAAAAAAACAGATTCGTCAATACGTTTGAAATTATTAGTTGATTGTGTAAATAATAATATGATAAAAATCACGTGCTCAATTTTAGCTATACAGGAAACACGAGTACAACCAGTTATATCCGTCAATCCTAAATTACAACCTAGATTAATTAAATTTCAAAGTTTTACTTTCATACAAAAGTCTTATTAATTTGCATTAATTAATTAATTTGAAGGACGTTAGGCGCGGGTTTTTCAGGTTAAATAATTGCGTTTCTTAATCGAAATCAGATAAAACTATGGTTTTTTTTTTATAATGACAAAAAATTGTACATAAAGATTATTATCGTATGATTAGCCCCAAAGAGAATTTCAGAAAACGAGTACGGCCGTGTTAATGAATTATTCGACAAACACTCTAATGCAATGCCAAACTCGACATTAATCTCATGCCCAAAGTGGTCAGTTAAACATTAATAGTTCTCCAGGACTTGTCGTTGGAACTACCGACCTCGGGCCAATATTGATAATGCAGTGAAGGGAATTACTCGCAGTCGTTTGTGCATATCACTTATAAATATTCATTCAAATCGCTCGAGTAATATTACACGGCGGCTGAAGTTGGCGCTTACATATCGTACAATATTTATACTGCAAGCATTACCATAGATTTTCCCTCAAAATGTTTTTTACATTCGGAATAAAGTGATTGGTAGCAATAGCGTTTTTTTATCCGCCTAGATGTAATGCGAACTCAAACAAATGACGTAAGCACATGCAAAAACAAAAAACAAATAAAGTAGTCATTTCGTTTCTCTTTGTGCGTTTTGTGCTAAACGTGAAATTTGCGTGGACATATATACTTTACATACACGAGGTGTTATGCTCGCCGAGTAAAGCTGAGATTTTTTTTTGATCTATTGCGCGCAACAGCAAGAACAATTTGCCTACAAATATCTAGTAAATTATGTTTACAAGTACTCTATGCGTTGCGTTTTTATTGAGCTGTTAATCTGGCACTTTTAACAAAATTCTCAGGTGTTTAGAGTGTTTCTCTAGACTTTTTATGTAAAATCATAACAAAGTCATATACTAAATCGTGCGGATTGCCTAAATATTCACGGGAGTCCTAGATGTATAAACGCAAAATACAAGAATAAGTTAATTGACAGAAGTGTTTTAAAAAATGTAAATTTTAGCAGAAAATCTTTCGAATTAAGGTGAGCCATCAGATTTCTATTTGCAATTAAAGTGTATATTCCAAAAGCTTCCACTGAAAATCTATTATACAGTTAGTTGATGTTCTCGAACAATGTAAAATTTGTGCTCTGTCAACTTTATTGTTCATTAATTAAGGCTATAAAAAATGAAACG